CGCTAACCTGTTTATCTGTGACTCTACAGTCATGGAACTATGAACCTGCGCCCCAAGGTGTCTTATTTAGGCAACACTCCCCAGGACCCTACATTAAATTTATAAGTCCAGCCCTAATCTGCCTCACTAAAACGCAACACCTCACAGTTATCTAAATTAAACTCCATTTGCCATTCCTCAGACTATCAGCCCACCTGATCAAGGTCTCATTGTACGGTGAGATAACCTTCTTCACTGTTCACTACACCACCAATTTTGGTGTCATCTGCAAACTCACTAACCGTACCTCCTATATTCACATCGAAAGCATTTATATAAATAACAAAAAGCAGTGTACCCAGCACCGATCCTTGCAGCACACCACCTGTCATAGACTTCCAGTCCAAAAAGCAACCCTTCACCACCATCTCTATCTCCTACCTTCAAGCCAATTTTGTATCCAAATGGCTAGCTCTCCCTGGATTCCATGCAATCTAACCTTGCTCACCAGTTTACCATGCAGAACCATTTCGAACGTTGGCAGATTTTTAAGAAAATATTTAATGTCTCAAATGGGACTAGATTAATTTAAGATGTCTGGTCAGAGTGGATGAGTTGGACCAGAGGGTCTATTTCCGTGCTGTACAACTCTATGACTCTACAGTTCACAGCAAAGATATTTTCCAATGAGGAAAAAGGATTCTAGGAAGGGGATAAGCCAGCAATGGTTTACCAGGGAAGTTAAGGATATTATCAGATTGAAAGAAAAAACATACAAAGCAGCAAAGCTGAGTTAAAAACCGAAAGAACTGCAGATGCTGTAAATCAGGAACAAAAACAGAAGTTGCTAGAAAAGCTCAGCAGGTCCGGCAGCATCTGTGAAGAAAAATATCAGAGTTAACGTTTCTGGTCCAGTGACCATTCTGAGGAAGGGTCACCAGATCCGAAACGTTAACTCTGATTTTTTCTTCACAGATGTTGCCAGACCTGCTGAGCTTTTCTAGCAACTTATGTTTTTGTGGCAAAGCTTAGTTGAAAGTCACAGGATTAAGAAAGTTTTAAAAGCCAACAAAAGACCACCAAAAAAAGAGGGAGAATGTAAACTTTGAGGGCAACAGCAAATGCTTCTTTAAAAATATAAAAAGAAGGAAGCTAAAGTGAACATAGGCCTCTTAGAGAACGAAGCCGAGAAAATAATAATGGGGAACTAGGAAATAGCAGAGGAGCTGAATAACAACAGGTAGTTCTGCTATAACACGTGTTTCATTAATGCAAATTGGCTGTAATGCAATTGATGAACAGTGGACGCTGTTTGGATAACGCAAACTTTCTGCTGTACAGTATAGCGATTTTTTATAGCGACTTCCCCAAAATGCAATTTTCTGTGGTGATTTTCTAGAGTACCAGAAAGAACGCAAGAATGCAACTATCGCCTTATAGGAGAATTACATGTACTTCGCATTGGTTTTCACAGTAGAAAAAATTAATAACATTCAAAAATTACTTAATAATAAAGGGGCAAAAGGAGGAGAGAAAATAAAGATGACAATAATCACTAGTCAAAAAGTGACAGGAGACAAAAGGTGACAAGTGGTGTTCCGCAAGGGTCAGTGCTGGGACCACAACTTTTCACTTTGTATATTAATGATCTAGATGAAGGAACTGTGGGCATTCTGGCTAAGTTTGCAGACGATGCAAAGATGGATAGAGGGACTGGTAGAATTGAGGAGGTGGCGAGGCTGCAGAAGGATTTGGACAGGTTAGGAGAGTGGACAAAGAAGTAGCAGATGGAGTACAACATGGGAAAGTGTGAGGTCATGCACTTTGGTAAGAACAAAAACATGGACTATTTTCTAAATGGGGAGAAAATTCAGAAGTCTGAAGTGCAAAGAGACTTGGGAGTTCTCGTCTAGGATTCTCTCAAGGTAAACTTGCAGGTTGAGTCAGTAGTCAGGAAGGCAAATGCAATGTTGGCATTTATTTTGGGAGGACTTGAATATAAAAGCAGGGATGTACTACTGAGGCTTTATAAGGCTCTGGTCAGGCCACATTTGGAGTATTATGTGCAGTTTTGGGCCCCATATCTCAAGAAGGATGTACTGGCCCTGGAGGTGGTTCAGAGGAGGTTCACGAGAATGGTCCCAGGAATGGAAAGCTTTTAACGTATGAGGAACATTTGAGGACTCTGGGACTATATCCATTGGAGTTCAGAAGGATGAGGGGGGATCTAATTGAAACTTACAGAATACTGAATGGCCTGGACAGAGTGGATGCTGGGAAGATGCTACTGTTGGTAGGAGAGACTAGGTCCCGAGGGCACAACCTTAGAGTAAAGGGAAGACCTTTTAGAACGGAGATAAAGAGAAACCTGTTTAGCCAGAGAGTGGTGAATCCATGGAATTCACTGCCACAGGAGACCTGTGGAGGCCAGGTCATTGAGTATATTTAAGACAGAGATAGACAGATTCTTGATTATCAAGGGGATCAAGGGTTATGGGAAGAAAGCAGGAGAATGGGGTTGAGGAACTTATCAGCCATGACTGAATGGCAGAGCAGACTCGATGAGCCGAATGGCCTAATTTCTGCTCCTATGTCTTATGGTCTTATAGGAATTGCAGTGAGGCTAAAGACTGATAATTTTGTTGGATCTGATGTATTCTAGGGTATTAAAGGAAGTAGCTGCAGTGATAGTGGCTGCACTGGTAGTAATCTCCCAGAAATCCTTAGATTCTGGAGAAGTCCCACATTATTGGATAACTGCAAATTTATTTAAGAAGACAAAAAAAACCCAAAAAGGTTATTATTAGCCAGATTGCTTTATGTCTGTCATTGAGAAAATTAAGTATATAATAGCAGAGCATTTAGAAAAGCATAATATGATCAAGCAGAGGCAGCACACCTTCATGTAGAGGAAATAATTCCTTACAAACTTACTAGAATTCTTTGAGAAGGATAGATAAAGGGGATCCAGTGGATGTAATATATTCAGATTTTCACAAGGCATTTGACAAGGTACCGTGCATTAAGAGTCCATGGTGCTGGAAGATAATTTATTAGCACGGATTGACTAACTACAGAAGAGAGTGGGTTTGGATAAGAAGGTTATTTTTAGGAATGGCAACCTGTAATTAGTTGTGTGTCACAGAGATCAGCATTGGGGCCATAATTATTTAATTACTTGGATAAAGCAAGTGAGTGTACTATAGTCACGTTTGCAGATGGCCCAAAATAGGTGAGAAGGCAAGTGATGGGGCTTAAGCAAAGAGTCTACAGAAGGATACAGACAGGTCATACGAGTGGGCAAAATCTTGGCAGATGGAATATAATGTAGGAAAATGTAAGGTTATGCACTTTGGCAGAAAGAATAGGGGAGATTAATATTATTTGAATGGAAAAAGAACCACAGAATTCTATGGAACTGAAGGTTTTGGGAGTTTTTTAATCTCAGAGTAAAGGTTGCCCATTTAAGACTGAGATGAGAAGGAATTTCTTCTATCAGAGGACAGTGAATCTGCGTAATTCTTTATCACAAAGGATTGTTGACGCTGGGTCATTAAGTAAGTTGAAGGCTGAGATAGATTTTTAGTCAGTAAGGGAATCAAGAGTTATGGAAAAAATACAGGAAAGTGGAGTTGAGGATTATCAGATCAGCTGCAATCTCATTAAATGGCAGAGTAAACCTTAATGGACCAAACAGCCTACTTCTGCTTCAGGGAAAAAAACTGCCATCCTTACCTAGTCTGGCCTACATGTGACTCCAGACCCACAACAATGTGGTTGACTCTGAAATGCCCTCTGGGTAATTAGGGATGGGCAATAAATGCTGCCTAGCCAGCGACACCCTCATTCTGTTCATGAATAAAGGATTCAGGGGGATTTAAATAGGCAGAATAAGCAACTTTACAGCAGATGGAATATGGTGTGGATAAATATGGACCTATCCATTCTTGTTGGAGAAATAGAACTGCAGAGTATTTCTTGAATTGTGAGACTGGAAATATTGATTTCTGAAGAAGCCAACGTGTTTTTGTTCATAAATCACTGAAAGTTAGCAGAGGGCTGCAGCAAGCAATTCATAAGACAAAAGGTATATTAACCTTCATCACAAGAGGATTTCAGTACAGGAGTGAAGTAGTCTTGCTTAAATTCAATAGATTGTTCAGATTGCACCTGGAGTGTTCTGTGCCATTCTGGGTCCTCATCAAAAGAAAATATACTTGTCGTAGAGGGAGTGCAGCAGAGGTTCACCAGATCGATTCCTGGGATGGTGGGACTGTCTTATGAGGCAAGATTGAGTAAATTGGGCCTGGAGTTTAGAAGAATGAACAGTGATCTCACTGAAACTTAAAAAGTCCTTAAAGGGATAGACAGAGTAGATACAGAATGGATGCTTCCTCGAAAGCTAGGACCAAGGGACAGACTCAGAATAAAAGCCAAACCATTAAGAACTAAGATTAAGAGAATCCTCTTCACTCAGATGGTACCGAAAGTTTGCAATTCTCTACCTGCAGATGTACAACCATTAACTAAATTCAAGACAAAGACTAATAGACTTCTAATTGCGTATGACATCAAGGGATATGGGAATAGCTGGGAATATGGTACTGATGAAGATGATCAGCCATGATCTAGAATGATGGAGCATGCACAAGGGACTGAATGGCCTATTTATATTCCTGTGTTCATATCTTCCTAACTTGTCTTCTAGCACCATATGCAGCCACTTATCTCTTCCTCCTAACCTTAGTAGCCATGCCTTCAAACACTTAAGACTTTAGTTTTGGAATTCTAACCGACATGATCTGTGGATTCTCTGAAAGCACCAACTTTAGTTGGCTGAAAATTTTCTCCCATTTTTGTATTTCTTGATGTACTTAGTTTTACAAATCATTTTGATGTAAAGGTTATCCAACACTATCACAAACACATTAATATAGAGACAGAGAGAAACAATGGTACCATTGCAGCAAGGCCTGAATTTGAAACAAATGCAAAAGCTATACAGGTATCTTAGAGCTTACCTTGAAGTTTTGATCGAGTACAATCTATACCAAATAGTGGCATCCCAAATATTCTTGTTTAAAATCAGTATACATCAATGAAATTTCTGTTTAGAAAACAAAAGTAATTAATAAAACCTATGCCATTCAGTTTAGAGTGTCATTATTAATCCCTCCCTTTTTTATTTTCTATTTAGTTTGACCACAGAACAACCTAGCCTCTAATTTAAACTAACTCTACCATCAAGAAGAACAAGATCTGCATGGGAACACCACTACCTGCAACTGCCCATCGAAGTCACACACAAATATATTTCCATTTATTATAGTCACTGGATCAAAATCTTGGAACAATCTCAAAAGATCAGTCATAACACAATTCTTACTTTATTCTTGTGAACATTTCAGACAATGATTCTAATATAGTATAGGCAAATAACGAACTTTCAGTTTATTACTACTCCTATTAGCTGAATACATATTACGGTTTGGTCGAACTAAATAGAAAATAAAAGGGAGGGATTAAAAGCACTGTGGTTGTACCTATCGAATACGGACTTTAACAGTTCAAAAGCAGGCATTACTACCTTCTCACAAGCAATTAAGAATAGGTAGCAAATGCTTGTTTTGCCAGCCACACACATTCCATAATGAATAAATAAAAATTAAAACCAAAGTAAACCACCACCAATTTTGATATTATCAGAGATCAACCCTCATACCTTCAAGTTTGCATTGTTTATGTATACCAAAAACAGCAATAGCCCCACACTGATCCTTGCAGAACCCCACTGAACACAGCTTTCCATCACAAAAATGCCTCCCAATCATCACTTTCTGCTTCCTGCCACTTAGCCAATTCTGATCCAATTAGCAAAATTTCTTTGGATCCCTTCGGCTCCTACCTTCACAATCAGTTTTCCATGCAGACCTTATCAAAAGCATTGCTGAAGTCCAGGTAGACTACATCATATAACTACCCTCATCTAAACATCTGGTCACCTCTTCAAAAAATTCAGTCAAGTTGGTCAGACATGACCACCCTTTAACAAAACCACACTGAATGTTCTTGATTAATCCCTGCCTCTCCAAGTGCAAATTAATTACGTCACGTAGGCCAGACGAGGTAAGGTTGGCAGTTTTCTTCACTAAAGGACATTTTTGAACCAGATCAGTTTTTCCCCAACAATTGGCAACAGTTTCATGGTCATCGTTAGGCACTTAATTCCTGATTTTTATTGCATTCAAATTCCATTATCTTCTATAGCAGGATTTGAATCTGGATCTCGTAAACATTACTTAGCTATCTGTTTTAATAGTGATAATATTCAGTCTCCCCTTGACTCATATTCAAAACTGACATAGCAGGAGAGTGGTATATTGTCAGAGATGGCATCTTTTAGATAGAGGTCTTCCCACTTAAGTCGACAACATAAGCTTTCCCATGCCACTTTTTGTGAAGAACAAGGGTTTTTCCCTCTCAAGCATCACCACCTAAACAGATTAATTGGTCATTCATCTGATTTATCACTGTTAGTGGACCTTGCACACATGTTGACTGTTACACTTGGCAATGAAAGCAAGAGTAACTACACTTCAAAAATTAATTCATTATCTAGGGAAGTAATAAGAACATACATGGCCATATCCAAATGTACTTCTTACTTGACAGACACAAGAAAATCTACTACATTTCCAAAACAATAGTGCAAAGCTGCAAGGTTTATTAAATAATGTATCATACACCTTTACATGTCTGTCCCCATCAGGATGGTCTTAGGGGTCTCTGCTTCTTCCTGGAAAAAAGACCTGAGCCATCCACCACCACCTTCCTCCACCTGGCTCGTCCTCACTTTGAGCACTTCTTCTTTAATTCTTCCCACTTTCTTCAGATCAAATCAGTAGCCATGAGAACTCGCATGGAACCTAGTTATGCCTGTCTCTTTGTGAGGGTCATGGAACATTCCTTGTTCCAGTCCTACTCTGTCCCCCCATCTTCAACTCTTTCTCTGGTATATTGATGACACCATTGGCACTGCTTCCCTCTCACTTCAGGAACTGGAAAAGCTTGTATTTCTTCCAATTTCCATCCCGCTCTCCCTTTCACCTGGTCCATCTCCAACACCTCCCCTCCCTTCCCTGACATCACTGTTTCCATTTCTGGGGATAAGCATGCCACCAATAGCCACTACAAACCCACTGACTCCCACAGTTATCTTGAATATACCTCCTCAAATATTACTTCCTGTAGAGACACTATTCCATTCTCCCAGTTCCTCAGTCTCCATCACATCTATCCGATGATGCCACTTCGACAAGAGGGCTTCCAAAATGTCCACCTTCTTCATCAACTGAGGATTCACCACCACTGTGGTTGACAGGGGCCCTCAGCTGTGTCCGAACAATCTCCCGCATTTTAACTCTCATCCCCTCTCTTCCTTCTTCCCTCCCACAACAGTAATAGGGTCCCCTTGTCCTCACCTACTATACTACCAGTATCCACATACAAAGGATCATTAGACACCATTTCTGTCATCTCCAGCGGATGCGACCACCAGACACATATTGCTCTCCCCTCCCTTGTCAGCTTTCTACAGGGACCATTCCCTCCGATACATCGTGGTCCACTCCCAAAATGTCCCAACATCCCCATGGGCTCCTTCCATGCAATAACAGAATGTTATTTTTGTTACTTTTTTGGTTCTTCCTTGCTATCCAAGGCCCCAGACACAACTTCCAAGTAAAGCAGCGATTTACCAGTGCTTCACTCAATCTAGTCTACTGTATTTGCTGCTCACACTGTGGTTTCCTCTACATTGGGGAGATAAAGCAATCGTTTTGCAGAACACCTAGGTTCTGTACATAAAAACAACCCTGAGCTTCCAGTTACCTGGCACTTCAACACACCATCATGTTCACTAGCCAATATTTCTGTCTTCGGCTTGCTGCAGTGCTCCAGCGAAGCTCAGTGCAAACAGGAAGGACCGCTTCTTATTTTCCACTTGGGAATCCTGCAGCCTTCTGGATTCAATATAGAGTTCAACAATTTTAGGCAAAAACAGAAACTGCTGGAAGATCTCAGCAGGTCTGGCAGCAACTGTGGAAAGAAATCAGAATTAACATTTCAGGTTCAGTGACACTTCTTCAGAACTGAAAAGAAACATAAACTCTGATCTCTCTTCACATATGCTGCCAGACCTGTTGAGATTTTCCAGCAATTTCTGTTTTTGTTTCTGATATCCAGCATCAGTAGTTCTTTGTTCTTGTTTTGTTAAGTGCATTCTTTAGTTAGGTGTAGGATTCCATTATTTCTCCTGTGGATATGATTACTTCGCCCTGGGAGGGGAAATTGCCATGCAGAGTGCCAGCTTCCACAAGTGGTAGAGCAGTTTTGATCAGTGAGAAATTACTCAGTTAATTAATCAGTCACAACATGTGGAAACTTCCCAGCCTCTTAAGAACATCGGCTATGGCAGGAAATTTGGGAAATTCAAGTGAGATGTCCAGTGAGGCCCTTTTCAACCTCAAGACTAAAAACCAAGTATTGCATGTTGAGATATGGTTCTCATTCGTGCACAGTGAGAAGCCTATTAGCAAGGATCATTGTACATTGTTACCATGGTTACAACTCAATCTCACCTTGGTTATATGCAGTTTCGCATTCTTCCATTCACCAGGTAGAAACCAGACACCGAGAATTCCCATTATGAAATCAGTGCGCATACCTGGCGACTCAAGCTCTCATTTGCTCCTCTGGACCTCCATCTTGGACACCCAGCATCAACATCTCAGGGCACGCTCTGTGGATAGCAACCATGCACGCTCCACATTAACATTCAACATGGGGTGTGTAGGTCCACAGATCACTGAAGGTGGCAGTGTAGGTAGATAAGGTAGTAAAAATGGCCTATAGCATGCTTGCCTTCATTGGAAGGGGCACTGAGTACAAGGATCGACAAGTTATGCTGCAGCTTTATAGAACTTTAGTTAGGCCATGCTTGGAATATTGCACACAGTTCTGGTCATCACACTACTAGAAGGATGTGGATGCTTTGGAGAGGATACAGAAAATGTTTTCCAGGATGTTGCCTGGTATGGGGGATTTAAGCTATGAAGAAAGGTTGGATACTGGAACTCAGGAGATTGAGGGGCGACTTGATCGAAGTTTATAAGATTGTAAATGGAATGGACAGAGTGAAAAATATGAGGCTTTTTCCCGGGGTGGAGGGGTCAATTACTAGGGGTTTAAGGTGCGGGGGGGGGGGGGATGTTAAAAAGAGATATGCGAGGCGAGTTTTTCACACAAAGGGTGGTGAGACCCTAGAACACGTTGCCAGAGGAAGCGGTGGAAGCAGACACAACAGCAGCATTCAAGAAGCACTTGAACGAGTACATGAATAAGAAGAGAATAGAGGGATACGGATCCTGTAAGTGAAGACAGTTTTAGGATGGAAGGGCAAAATGTATTGGTGCAGGCTTGGAGGGCTGAAGGGCCTGTTGTTGTGCTGTATTGTTCTTTGTACCAACTTTACCTCATCAGTGTTGCATATATCTGATCTACTTACAGTATATTTCTGCACTTAGTCATGGAGTCATAGACCCCTACTGCCCACTGAGTCTGCAATGGTCAAAAACAACCACCTAAAACTATTCTAATCCATTTTCCAACACTCTAGCCCATAACCTTGCATTGCAAGCATATATCTAAAAACTTCTTAAATGTTGAATGCCTCCACCCCCTTACAGAAAGTGACTTATGCAGCACTTCAATGCTGCACTGGCACCTTTCATCGTAATATTACTGCAAGGACACTTTGATGCAGGACAGGCACCCAGCTCACGGACTGGTCCAACCTGTATCTCAGGGCTGCTCACTTGGGCTCTTAGCATTCACTCGTATTATACCCATTTTGATGCTTTGCCCTCAATCACATCTCAAAAGCTCTTCTGTCCTGCATTGGCTTTTACATTGCAGACACAAAGCCAGATAGTTTGTCTTGCTTGTTGGCAGTCTTCAGTCAAGAGGGTGAACATGTAGCTGTATGGCACTGTGCTATGTCAATCTCTCATCTTTACCAACTGACAGCTGCATATGTGCCAAGGACAT